CCTATGGATGCAGTAGCTCAAAACAGCAAGGATCATTTCCACCCCTTCATACACAGAGTAGACAGGGGTGGGCAACTTGGACATTGGCTACCCAAAACGGGGGGTGATACAAAGGCAAGAAGTGACTGATTTACAAACTTACAAGGGGAGCCAAGATCCAGAGGGCGTGGAGAAAGATAGAATCTCCACTGAGTAGTATCTAATCTGTCTAGGAGGGGCTGATGAAAGGAAATGTGGATAGGTCTCTTGTGATACAATAGTAAATAATTGTTCTCAGGACTGACTGTGAGGGTTGGAAATGTAAAGGTAGATGTTTTGTGCAAGGAGGGGAGTGATTAACTTTGCAGTCTAGCAGCTGAGGTCCCTGGGACCAAGAGCGAAGAGCGGGACCCTACCCAGAGAAGCAGTGATGCCTGAGATGAAGGCAGAGAAGATGATGTGGAGAGATGGAGCAGCTGGGGACTTTAGACCCAGAGAGGGAGAGGGGCTGTGTGCTGACGACCGGGGAGGCCGGGGAGGGGGGTGGGACAGGCTTGCAGTGTATATCCTTTGGTTGTTTGATGATGCATGGAGGGGATTGTAATCATGGCAATGAAACGATATACGATAGGATGAATGTAAAACTAATGTTCTCCCATGTAAACCATCACATAATTCAAAATAAAACATTAAAAATAAATAAATAAATAAATCGCCATCTCCTCCCCCAGTTCCTAGTCATCTCTGTCCTACCCTCTTGTCTCCATAAATTTGATTATTCTACATACTTCATATAATTGGAATAATTTCATCTGTGTCCTTTTGTTTCTGGCTTATTTCACTTAATGTAGGTTTTCAAAATTCATCTATGTTGTAGCATGTATCAGAACTTCATTTCTTTTTATGAAATGAGATTAATAATATTCCATTGTGTATATAGGAGGTGACTTCAAAAAGTTTATGGAAAATGAAATTAAAATATAATAGAAATTTTTCCATGAACTTTTTGAAGCCCCTTCAGATACACCATGTTTTGTTTATTCATTCATCTATTATGGACACCTTTTAGCTACTGTGATTAATGCTGCCATGGACGTTGGTACACATGTATCTGAATCCATGCTTTCAATGTAGAATTGCTGGGTTACAAGGTAATTTATTATACCAGGGACCCTGGTGGCACAATGGTTAAATGTCTGGCCAATAATTGAAAGGTTGGAGGTTCAAGCTGATCCATGGAGACAAAACCTGGCAATATGCTCCATAGAGATTACAGCCTAAGTGACACCAGAGATGGAGGCAGCGATGAGGACATGGAGAGAGAGAGCAACTGAGTACTCTAGACTCACGGAAAGGGAAAGACTGAATGCTGGCGGCCAGGAGGCAGGTTTATAGAATGTGCCCTTTGGTTGTTTAAATTATTATATATTCCTGAGTGTTTTTGTGTA